GACGGTATATTTAAATATACTCCAAGACGTGGCACCGCTAATCTCTAAATTCTCCGCATGTGCGTGGTCCTATCAGTCCGCGTGCTACCTTACCTACCCTACCCTACGGAAATGGCAGGAAAAAAAAACCATCTTCACCTAACTCGTGTAGTACAAAAATAGGAATAGATGAAGAGAAGGTTAATAAAATGAAAGTCGATTCAAAAGAATAAGGTGGCAACTGCGACGCGGGAATTGAGCCCGACGTGGGGGTCGAACCCACAACCTTGAGATTAAGAGTCTCACGCTCTACCGATTGAGCTAGCCGGGCAGATGCCTAGCCATATTTGGATGAATGATCGTTCCACATCTGAGATTATAGTCTCCATCCTGCCTTCCTCCAAACTTGGAAAAGGGTTAATATCCCTAATTATTAAAACGAGGTGCAAGCTGTTTTTTTGCCCTTCCATATCACTATTTGCTTTACACAAATGCAGCAGTCTTTAGAACAGTTTGTGGATCCACTCTTGAGTGAAAATGGAGACTACAAGCTTCCCTGACGTTGCTCATGCCATCATAGTCTCAGCTCTCACGTAAATAAATAAGCCGATCAGTATTACTATTAGTTTGAAGGAATAAGGTAGAAAAAGCGGAAATGAAGGTATCACGCCTGAATCTTCTTTGCTGCCTCGACAATATCCGAGTGCTCCCAAGTGTCGGCCTTGTAGCCATTCAGCGCAGTTTCCACCATCAACTTGCCGAGTGCATCCACGCGGACCGAGGGAGCAAGTTGGAGGAACATGCTTTTCCAGGTGCTCTGCTTGGGGAGGATAAATGCAGGCCTGAAGATATACGACTCGAAGAAGCTCGAGTTCTCTTTGGCGTGAGCCAAAAGCTCATTCTCTACTTGGCCCTGTTGCGGTTTTGTCATTAGCCGCGTTCTATCCAACATAAAAATGCGAGGCATCGTACGCGTATTCGCAGGTAGTCCTGCATGATCCAAAGTGGCTTATTCTGGTCCCGCGTCACGCATAGACCGGTCAGGCAGATGAAGCGAAATTTATGGTTCGGGGCCGCCGCTGCTTTGCGCTGCTCTGTGATGGCGCGCGCTGTGGCCATGGGATAGTCGACGTGGACCTTCTTGACGGTCGCGTTGTCCATGGCGCCTGCCATCCCTGGTTTTCCCAAGGACCTGAGGGGTACCAAAGCACTTGTTAGCTGAGACTTGTCGCGAATGTCATCGTATTTGTCTGTCATCATAACGAACCATATGCACGCATCCGCGCCCTCAATTGCTCGCAGGGTATCGTCGTTGTAGGATAGAAAGTCGTCCATGATGACGACCTGGACCTTGGGGTTGCTGGCGACGGATGCAGGGAGCTGCCTTCGCGATAGCACTACGACGGAGGTGATGGAGGGGTGCTGGATGCACTGCTCGAGCACCTCTCCGCCGGTGAATCCCGTGCATCCAGTCAAGATGACTTTCATGATGGAGCCAGATGTCAAAATTGTGTTGCAGGTCGTATTTCCGTGGGGGCGAGAAGCTGCTCGAGATGCAGAAGTCAATTGTGGTAAAATGCGAAAAGCGTGGAGAGCTACGAGCAGAACAAGATTGAAGATAGCCCGACGGCTGAACACCTTCCCGCCATCCATGCTCCCCTCAGTCCGACCTCCCTCGGGATCGGGACTTATGGCGGGCCCGAACACTGTTAAGCCCGCAATGCTTGCTTGGGTTGACACCTGCACGAATGAAAGGTTCATGATTTCAAGTCAAAATAAAATAATTTCGAGTACCTACTACCATGTAAAATAACCAATCAGCGTTCACGACCTTGCACCACCAATTGTCCGACTGAGCCTTGGCGATATGGCGCCTTCAGTGAGGTCTAAAAAGGTGGGGTAAAGCGGCACACAAAGAGCACGGTGGCGCGCAGTCACACATTATTACTGTAGTGACGCCTACATCATCTGTGATATCAATACCCCTATTAACATGGACCTAACCGCAAAAAGTTAGTATTTACTCCTTTTATTCTTCCAAGTTCAAAGCAATCAGCAGCCAGATCCTGCACACGGAATTGCGCACCTAGTGCTACCTCATGCACATACATTCCGACAGCTCAAGAGGTTTTTTTATCGGTCTAGTATCAATCAATGAGCTTGAAATGAACAGACAGACATTTTAACGGCACCACTGTATGCACTCTCTTCATCAAACACATCCATGATCCAGATGGCCTCGACATTTTTTTCCTCAACAACCATTTCAGCTGCTGTCAGCGGCTTTCTTGGGGAACTATATGGCTCTGGGCATCTGTCACCCATCTAGTTGAGTTTTGGACTTTCCGGTTTTTCCCAAAAATAGGATCCAGCCCGGCCGCGTCAGCCCTCGAGGCCATCACGTCTTAGGGAAGATCAAAGCTGTTCTTTGACACCGTTGCATACCCGTGTTTCAAGCATACGGGTGCCAAGCATTGCGGCAATGGCGGCCCGATTCATACAACAACGCTCCAGGATCGGAGTATGGCAAGACCATGATATGAGAGACGCAAGCGTTGAAGGTATCGCAGCCGTCCTAACCCGAGTGTAGCGGAATGCCACGTTTTCCAGACCGTTGCCCCGTCTGCAGAATTATTACCATTTATTTCCAGAAGTGAAAGAACATAATCAGATGCTGGACTACTGCTCGTCCATTCGAGATGGCTACAGTTTGCGCATATACAATGCGGTATCATCACGTTTGTCACACTATTTGTGCACAACATACACCACTTCCAAGCAGGATTTGATTATCAGCATTGCTACTGACCTGTATATACTACGTCTAGTAGGTCATAAGAGCACATAAGACCTGTAGCACTGATCTAGAGTAGACAAACAAGATGTGCACGTACTGTGTTTGTACTTACCCCATGAATATCAACCTCGTATAACAGAACAGATAACACAAACACCATTCCCCCCATTTCAAACACAGTCACAACACCTAATCCCACCCCGGCTTCCCAACCCACTGCCTCGTACTATCCGCAAACCCCACCCCCTCCGCCCCCTCCCCTGGCACCGCGCTCCTCGCCGCCACCGCGCTCCTCGCCTGCTTCAGCAACGCAGCAAACACCCCAACCGGCGCCGGCGCCACCGTCGTCCTGCTCCAATCCGCCGACGTAAAATACGTACTATGCAGCCCCAGCCCCGCCACCCCCTTCAGCTGCGCCAGCAGCGTCGCGTTGTCCGCCGTCGGCGCCGCGCCGTGGAACTGATGCACCAGCACGCTCGTCTTGCCCCTCAAACCCGCATCGTACGGCAACCCCGACCCGGCCTTCAGCGCCGCATAGCTGAAGGGCACCGTGCCGGCGGGACAGTCGGTCGAGACCGCGCTCGTCCAGCACGTCTCCTGCAGGACGATAGCAGAACAATAACTAAACAGCGCGGCCTCGGCGTTCCTGTCGACCTGCCCGCCGGGGTTGAGCACGGTGGCGTAGGCGCGGGCGCCGAAGGTGCTTCTCGCATAGGTGGTGAGGTTCCTGTAGAGCGCGGTGGTGGCGGCGGTGGGGCCGGTCTCGTCGAAGAAGATGCCGTGGACTTTGATGTTGGCGGTGACGGCGGCGTCCCAGGTCGGGGCGGTGGCCCAGGCGGCCCAGTTGTTGATGTCGGCCTTGATGGCGGCGACGCTGCGCTGCGCGGTGTCGCCGTAGCGGGTGTAGACGTAGCCGAGGGTCTGCGCGTTGGGGAGGGCGGTGAGCTTGGCGATGCCGGTTGTCCAGTCGCGGTTGCATCCATACGTCAGGTCGCAGCCGGAGCCGGTGGGGCCGTTGTTGGGGTTGAGGATTACGTAGAAGTGGATGGTGGGGTTGGCTTTGATGGCGTCGACGGCGGCCTGCCAGTCGGGGAGCGAGGTCGTGCCGCCGGGGTAGGTGTAGAGCGGGAGGAGGACGTCGAGGGCGAGGGTGGAGGTAGAGAGGGCTGCGGCGGTGGTGAGGTAGTGGAGAAGCTTCATCGTGGTGGGAGGGAGTGTTGCAACTGTTGGGGAGCAAGAGAGCGTTGCAAGGTCTTGGAAAGTGAGGCAGTGTCAACTGCTGCGATGAGCAATAATGCGTACGCAAAAGAGTACCGGATATGACTGCTGAGGATGCATTTTTGTATTTATAGCGGATGAGTGAAAGAGATGCCAGTCGGAGTCATCTCGTTAGTGAAACGCGGTATATCGTAGGCGAACAAAGGCTGTGGCGGACAAGTGACCGGCCCCCTTCATCTCAACCGCTCTCAGGAATGCTACCAGACTTTGGCTATCGCCCGAAATGACCATTTCGGAATTATGCAGCATGCATGTCTTTGCGTAACGCAGCCAGAGCCAAGGCGCGCGGCTCTTTTCCGTGGCTTTCACAGATCCGCGCGTCTGTTTCTTTGTGTGACGGAACCAACCTCCACCGATATTGCTCGGACTATTGCAGACCCCCGAACTCATAGAATCATGATTTTGTACATGTCTTGAACCAGCTGCGTCGCTATCTTTTTGGGTTATATCTTGTAACATTCTGTAGGTCGAAGTTGCTGTCGATTACATGTACCTAATTCCTCTTTTGACTAGCGTTGTGCCTTGTTTCGAACATCAAAATTGGATGTATGCTGATTTACTTACGGAATTTTCATTTTTGAAATGAATTTGTCAGTTATAAAGGCAGCTGTAACCTTTGTTTCAAGGAGTTGCGTAATGTTGAATTGTGCCATCTTCGCCATGATCTCCATATCTTAGGAACACACGAAGGGACCCCATGACTCCACTTAATCTTTCTCCCCCGCTAGTTCTTAAGACTTTCTATTATGGGCTTATGGTGCGTTTTCGGTGAATCCCTAAAATAATTGTTTGTCATCCTTGGATAAAGTAGATTTAAAGTGCGTGCCATACTACTCTTTTTGTGCATGCAAGCGTGGAAGAATTGCTCAACTCTGCTGAAGCTCAAAGACAGTATCCATTCCCGGGCAAATTGGAAGCTCTACTCGCATCAGCTAATTATCAGCTTGAGCACTCGGTCTAGGGGTATAATTTTCGCTTCGCATTGCCATATGATGCGCCTTGTGAAAGGTCACCGGTTCGAATCCAGTATTGTCCATTCTTTCGGCTTCGTTGACTAAACTTTTGGCTGTGACTTGTGAGTGATTTTGTCGACTTGCTCCAGGCGGTTCAGCATGGAGCCAGGAATACGGGCCATGGCGTGCCCCCGAGCTTCCATATACGTGCAGATCACGGCACACGAGATAACCCCCCTAGCGGTCGTCACACTTTTATATGTTCATGATGGGTCTGAGACATTCGTAATTCCTCGAAAGATCATACTAACGCTTGAGACAGAAACGCCTATGGTGGCACTGTGCCCAGCGAGAACTAATGTCAAAACTGGTAAGCCCAGTCAGGTAGGTAATAAAGAAAAGGGGGCCGTGAAATGGTACTGGCCCTGCTAAATACATACCTAGGTACTACGAATGCTTATTACAAACATTGTAATATCTTGACAAAACCTAGCGCAAGTATTAAATCAAATAAACATTTAGAAGGACTTAATTCAAAGACATCGTTTAGCTTGACCTATATATTATTGTAGTGCTATCTGCCTAATCCCCATCGACACCGGCGCCGCAGAATGGGTACCCACAATTATGCTTTGGGCTCTTTGGCTCCGGTGTCGACTCTCTCACATATCCCATGTCTTAGCTATTTGCCTATTCCCCATCGACGCCAAAGTCGCAGAATGGGTACTCATAGTCGTGCCTTGGGCTCTTTGACTCCGTCGTTGACTCTTTCATACCGGCCATCTCTCACATCTCCCCATCCCATTCTGGTAATCCCGGCGTCACCATTCTCCCAATCACAATTTTAACACCCCCCCCCCCCCCCCCCCCCCCCCCCCGCGACCATGCCAGGGCTCTCACCTTGCCAGGTGAGATACCTCTCCTGCCCGAGAGGCGGCATCTACCGGGAGGCTCCTCCGTAATCATGCTGTTGGCCTTGCAAAGTGTCTGGTCAACCCATGGACATATCTTTCACCACCTTCTCATCGAACCAAAACTGACAGCACCAGCATCACCCAATTAGCTGCCGGGCTTCCAGCCAGGCTTCTTGCGAGGCAGGTCCGCGGCCGGTCAGAGGGACATCTGGCGGCCCGCATGATGCCGAATCGAGCTATGCCGAGCCCGGATCGACGATGATCTCGTCCATCTCGGGTCGGTGGAGTCGTTAAAATGCGGCTGTACAGCGGGATCGAAACAATCGGAGGCGTGTTTTCTATAGTAGTGTGTTGTAAGAAGTTCGCCGTGTTCTGATCCTGGAGTGCCGACACAGGAGTTCTGCGTCATCAGCATGTTGATGTCCAACAATGTATACGCCGGCAACCCCTGTATTCACGGCATGGCCACTCAACACGAAATTGAACGGACTTCCCAGCGACACCGGCATGTTTGACGACGCCGTCCACTGGCACAACTTTGACGGGGAGATTTGACTCTGACGGCGACCGCCACCATCGATACATATCATCTTCTTATTCAAGTTCTTTTCTTTCCTTGTCTTGCTCCAATGCTCGATCGACTGGGCCGTTGCTGAGTTAGGTTCGGTTCGCTTTGCTTCTGGTCACTTTCTTTTAGTAGTAGTAGTCGCTTTTCTTTACTCTCCAAACAGGCAGGCAAGGGGGGCTAGATCATGGTTCAGCCGCGCAGCCTCGCTGCCCCTCAACTAGATCTACTGGTCTTGTGATTATCGTTGTTTGCGTCCTATTTGGTGCAGTCGCTTGATGCGAAGTAGAAACGGAAGCGACTGTGGTGGTCGATTTTGTCGACTTTCGTTGTCGGTTCGATTTGCTGAGAACTGCCAACAGAGGCAAAGTCTGGGAGGGCCGTTGTGAGGAGAAGCCATCCGCGGGGTTTGACGGTCCGGACGTGCTCACCGACGATGCGGATAGGCGGAGTTTGCGATGGTCTCGGGGCCTGGGACAGATTTGGGCCTGGAAGCTGCGGAGTGCTGGGCGTGCAAATGGCCCAGCGTTGAGGAAGCGCGTGGGTGAGCAGGATGGCCGACGGGATGAGCTGGTCACTGAGCAGGGCGCCACTGGACGGGATGGTGACGAGGTTGGAGCCCTCGCCGCTCTTGACCTCGCGGTTGAAGGCCTCGAACTTGGCCGCGTTGTCCTCGTCCAGGTCGCCAAAGTGGACAAAGTCGACGCTCATCGTGTTCTTCATCTTCTTGGCTAGCTTGATCAGGTGTAAAGGCTGTTCCTTGACGAGTGCATTGGAAAGCATAGTCTAGTCATCGGGTTGAGAGAGCTTTCTCTTCTTGGATCTCTGTCTTTGAAGTCGCTGTTGCAGTTTGGCTGCGGAACCGTAGTCAAGGTTGGCTCGGATCGCAACGGGCAGACTGCACAAGCGGAGACCGCGGTCGAGGAGACTGGGACGGCAACCACCAGGGTGGTCCCAATCACCACACAACCTTCACAAGACCGTACAGGTGTCAAGCTCAAGGCCATCCACCGCGGTGTTAAGGAGTGTGAGAAGGCGATCAAGAAGTGGCCTCTCAAGGGCGCCGGCTCCAAGACCAACTGTCCGCCAAAGCCGCAGTGGCTCTGATCTGCCCCATGGCCATGCCGCTCTCCATCCGTTGCTTGATTTCCTCTGGATTCCATGGTCGTGAAACCATAAGCCCCGACTTCATGGCCGCGAATTCAGCTCCTCTGCGCTGTATCTCAGTGATTTCGAGTGCGCTCTTCTCATCAAACCTGATGTGTCGCCCTCTACCAAGTCAACATCGACTCGACGGCCGGGCCGCCTCGGGCGGCTGCGACTTCGGTCGTTTGGATACCAATTGCAGAATCTTCGGCTGGGAACGGAGGAAGTCAGTTCTAGTAGTATCGACGCCCTCGATCGTCAAGACCTCGCGTAGTGCCACTCCCTGCGTGTCAAGATACCACTGTTGGCAGACAGGCTGGCTCCTTGTTGTTTTGATGGAGTTTCCCGCTCGCGTCCTCGTGAATACGCTCTCCAATACTCATGAAAGCCTTCTCAATTCCATTCACACCACGGAGGCCGCAGCCGTCAAGGAGATGCTTCTTAAGTCGCTTCAGCATCACATCATCTTCTATAATTTTGCTTCCATGCCGGTTCTGGATGCAACGCTGGTTGGAGGTTCTGGGGCCGGTCGACTGGGCTTCAAATTCAAATCCTTTGCTGGGAGTCCTGGGCCTTTCGATGGCACCGGAGGATGTGTAGGTCGGCGATGCCGCGCAAGGTCTCGTTGGATTTCCTCTTGATGGCTCTCTCTACCTGAGCCCTGAGCTGGGCTTCCAGGTCACAGTATCTTCGACCTTGACTGGGCAGCCTGAGACTGGTAGTCTTGAATCTCAGTGTTGTATCCGGTCCTTAACCTTCGGGAGTCACTTCTGAGTAGTGTGCTTGGGATAACTCCTGGAAGACGATGCAGTATAGCTTGGGCATCTCAAGTCTGAAGCCTACATGTGCGGCGCCGAGTGTCCATTTTGCCGCTTTTCCTGCTGTCCCGTTTCGGCATCAAGTTCTTGCCTTCAAGAGGCTCGAACCTTAGCCATAGGCCTCCGGTCTGTTCTGCAGAGACCTAGAGAGACAAGACTGAGGTGCGTGCAATTCTACCGTCGTTGCGGTTGCAGTTGCGGTTGTGGTAGTATCTTCCTGTGTCGTGGTGTAATTGCTGTTTCTGTAGGCGTTGGCCCTTGGCCGACGCTGCTCGACGAGGATGCTCTAGCAGTTCACCGTATGAGGGTTGGCAGCAATTACCGCGGCGTGAGGGGTGGTTGCGGCTGCTGGTGTTGGTGTTGTTGTTAACTGGCAAGAACGGGTCAGGTCATATGTCCAAATCTTCTTGTAATCTTCGCGATCGATCTGGTTCCTTACCTTAATCATGGCAGCGGGCATGGTCACACATTCTGTGCCGGCTCTACCTTTCTGGTACCTGGAGGGGTGACCGTCCTAACTTGGGCTTCGTTCCTTGGCCGGCCGCAACAAGGCGCTTAGATTTAGAGACCATGTGAATAATGAGACTTGCAACTTTGTCAAGTTACGAAGCGTTACTAAATGCGATGAGCGCTCCTTGATAGGCATATATGAGGCTGTCGAGAAGGGCGATAATCATGCCGTGGTTTCCAATCGCTACGTTTGATCGAAGGGTGAGAATCTCGACCAAAGCAGACACCATAGCCTTGGTATCCAAAGCTGCTGGTATTGCCTTAGGTCCATCGCAGGCGCATTTGGATTCCTCGGATTGCGTGGCCGACGCTGTTTGGGAGGCAGAGTGGCGCTAGTACTGGACCTCGCCCGCACGAGGATAGTCCGCCATGGTGATGGGGGAAGCCTGCCCGCGTCTGACAAGTGTAGGTATCTATAATTTAAGTTAGTGCTTGGAGATAGCTCAAGGGATGCAGAAGTAGATACCAATGTTAAAACTGTGATAGTGATCATTGTTGAAGGAAGTGTAGGGAAACTGGGTTGTTGCTGACCGGCAGAACGGTCTTGTAATCTTCGAGATCGATCTCTGGTTCCGTATCTCAATCGTGAATAGCGGGCTTGCTCACTCCATCCCAATCCCCGTCGACGCCAGAGCCGCAGAATGGGTACCCACAGTGATCCTTGGGCTCTTTGACTCCGGCGTCGACTCTTTCATGTCTGCCATCTCTCAAATCTCGCTATCCCATGCCAGGGCAGGGCCCTCACCATGCCAGGTACGGCCATTCAAAAAGTCAGCGAACATCTAGCGCACCTTCTCATCATCAACGTCATCATTCAGATTCTTGATGTAGAGGTTGACGCCTATATTTTTACTAGCTTTCTTAAGGCGAGCAGCTTCATAAGACTCCCGGAGCTCCTCTTCACGCTCGTGCTTCTTCCGGGCGCGGCCAACGTAAAGTTCCTGGCCGTGGAAGTCGTTGCCATAAAGATCCTCAACGGCCTTGGCAGCGCTCTCGTAAGTCAGGTAGTTAACGAAGCCGAATCGGGATTCACCACTGGGTCGTAGCCTTGTGGCTGCGCCAGTGACCCTGTCATGGTAGTTCTTGGCGGTGGTTGAGGTGTCCCTGCCGTAGCTATAGTCGCGGATATG